GAGAGCACCTCCCCCTGTTTTGGGGATTCACTTAATTTATATTTGCCTTATGATTAAAGCAACTATATAATTTATCATCCAAACTGAGACACTTGAAAGAAAGAGGGGCAATCATAGTAATTATGACTGCCACAAGTAAAAGAGGCATTAAACTGGGTTGTCCTCGATAAACCAGGACCTATGGGTGCTCTGTTTATGATATCTTGTGTGGTTCAGAAGTGACCACATGCTGGCGTAGTTTTGCTATCTGAGGATTATCTTCGTGGGTATCTCATAATCTCATTGTACACTTAGTCCTTTTGAGAAGACGGAGTTTACTCCTATGACCTGTTCAAGCCAACCAGAGATTAATGGAAGCAAGGAGAGTTATAAACATTCTGAATTTTAGCTTAGCCCTTGACCATTTTTCAAATACTTGTTCTCTATTTCTCCCGTTACCAGAAAGCCAAGCCATTCCAGCTCCATAGGGTACCACTCAGAGTATAATTGAGGTTTGAATAAACAACACATGTGGCTTTTAAGGTTAAATGAATATTGTTTGACATATACTATACTAGGGTTGTTTTTCATTTTGGTTTTAAAAATTGGTTAAAATTACATCTTGTTGCTTCTCGGAATTAACTAGATTCCATCTGTCTCTGTTAGAATCACTGTTTTGTTTTGCTCTTTCAGAAAGTCTTGGCTGAAAAAAGAGACTCCCTTTCAGATAATTTGTCCAGTGAATCAGGAAAATACAAGCAAAGAAACAGGTTTTATAGGGTATCGGTGACTATATATTTTTCTTTTTATGTGTTTTGTCTCTTAGCTGAAATCTAAGTTAGGATATATAAAATATAAAAGATGTGAGATGGTAAATGGAGAAGCCTCCTATTTTCAGCTTCTAGTCAGACCCTGCCTCAGTCTAGACAACATCTATAGGCATAGACAACATCAAAATGCAAATATCTAGGAAGATAAATTCAGTAAATTATTGTTTACATTAAATAGATGAGAATGTTGAAACCTTTAACACCTACTTAAATATTCAAGCTTAGAGAATGCTACTTTGAACTCAAAGCAACAGAAATGCTATAGTTCCTACTTGAGAATATATGAAAACACACATATGCATATGAATATTTATATGTATGTATGTTCTAAAGTAATTGTTTTAGTTGTTAGTGAAATGAAACATTGGAAATTTAGGTACATAGGCTGTTCGTAAATGCTGAAGTGTTCAAACACACGTTGTGATATATGCATCCGAACAGGTATGACGGAATTATCTGATCCCGTGTTTGATACCTGCTTACCCCACTGGTTTGCCATCTTACCTCTCTGCTCACTTACCAGGGTTTATGTGCTCCTATATTTCTTTGTGTTTCTGCTTGGATGATATGTATTTAAAGGCATTCTTTCAAAGCCCTGTTAAGACTCTGGGCTCTAAATGCAGTAAACTGACTTCGAAGACAGCCATACTGATAAGCATTTTGTGTCCATGCAAACTCTTCAGTCTACATTTAAGTAGGGCATTTGGTGAGGAGAGCTAGCCTTTTCTGTTTCTTTGGTAATTTGGTGTTTTTTGGCTACTTTGATTAGGCTTAAAAACCCAAGCTTATTGCTTTTACATTTCATTTTGCTATTCACTGGTGAATCTTTTCTGGTTTCAAATGTTCTTTCTGGTCCTATTTTTCCATTCTCCTTGGTATAGTTTAGACCCCCCCACTAAAGAGCAACAGGTAAATACAAGGTCTTTGTCATTCAGTCACTGTCAATGGCAACACATTTCCGTTTCCCCAGCTCTCCAGATTTGCAAACCTAGAGTCATTTTACACTGCCTTCTCCTTTGCCTTACTCCTCCATTGTCAGCTCTTAAACGGTCATTATTTCCTTTTAATTTACAGTAGTCTTATATGTCCCTTCTTCATTATTTTATAAATCCTCATGGCCCATTATCACATAATAGACTTCTGGTTGACTTTGCAAATTTCAGTTGGTCTCCAGCTAGTCCACATTCCATTGCCAGGATAAGCTTCCACAAATATGATTTTTACCATAGGAACCTCTACGTAAAAATTTATAACAGGAATTTATTGTTTTTCAAGTCCATTGTTTACCTATATTTGAAGTCCACACAAGTTTTTACCACCCTTATTCACCTCAACAATCTGTTCCCCTCATCTTCCTTCTTCTTTACCTGCCTAATCCTCTCTTTCCCTCTCTGTCCCTCCACTGCCCAGTCTCTTATTTCACATCTTCCCTGGTATGTGACTTGCTATCCAAAGGTCAATTCCCTGCCCAAAGAAATGTTTTATACCTGTTCTGTCTGCTTCAAGAAATGTGAATGACTTCTTTTGGAAATCTCTCCAGATTACACCAAACTGTTCATTTCAACTATTTACAACTATTTAATGTCTCCTAAGCATATCTGTTCCATTTCTTCATTTCCAGTTATTACTATGTGGGTGGAGGCATGCACACATACACATGTATGTTTTCTTAAGTTGTTTTCTATGCAGATTTCCTGTCAACCTTTCCAACTGTCATAATGACTTGAGGGCAAGGGCCCAGTCTTATTTTTCCCTTCTTCACTCATGAAGTGTTCAATGCATGTTAACTGATGTTTGCAAGGTAGTCTAGATATAAATAAAGGTGAAAACCACTTCAGTCTCGTAAGGTTAGTTTCCCTATAATCTGCATATAGTCTTTTTTTCCATCTTTGCTCATAGTATAACATCTAAGAGGCAAGTATACTACCGGCCAAGCACTGAATTATATACTTTGGACTGTACTTCAACCCAGTACAAACATTAAGCACCTAGTGTATATCTAGTGAAGTGTTCCAGTTCAGCAGTTCTCAAACACCTGCGCACATGATATGCACCAGGAGTGCGTGTCAAAACTCAGGTCACTGGACACCCACGCCAGAGTTTCTGACTTAGCAGATTTGGATGGAGTTTTAAATTTGGCACTTCTGACAAGCTCCCCAATACCACACCGCTGCTCCAGAGTACACTTTGAGAGCTAGTGATCTAGACAATATGGGCCACTGGGAAGTCTAAGATGTGCTTTCCAGTCAAGGGATTCACAGTCTCTGCAAGGGAAACAGGGCAGACTCAGAAAACATTTAATAGCAGGAATATTATGCAGTGCTTTTTCATTCATGCATCCAGCAGATACTAAATGAGTGCTAACTATGTGCCTGGCACTGTTTTTCTAGGTGCTGGGATTACACTAGTGAATATGATAGACAACAATCCTTGTTTTCATAGGTGAACATTTGTGGAAGAAAATGGGTAATAAACAAATTAAAATTATAAAATGTAAGATCATGTTAAGGGCTAACAATAAAAAATAAAGAGGGATAAAACATACTGGAGCAGGATTTGTATTTTTAGCTAAGTGGTCAAAGGATGGCTCCCAGTTTCATTACTTCACAGCTATTTTTAAGTGATGACTGTGTCAGACACTGTGGTAGAATGATGGTGATGCAGCCACAAATAACACAAATAATTGACCCTGACCTTATAGAGTGGATACACTTATTTGGGAGCCAGGAAATCTGGGATTTGGGGTGATAACTCTCATTAACTCATTATGTGACTTTGAGTGGCTGCACCTCTGCTTAGCCTTGGTTTCCCTCATCATAAATGGAGCATTTGCAAAGTCATGCTGAAACTTCTATATATCTCTAAGTCCACAGGATGCTAAGGCCTTGGGCAATGGGAAATATGTAAGAGAGCCTGAGGGATACTTTGTCAAGGACAAAAAATTGAATGGGTTTTTAAAGGCAGAGGACACTAAGGGGAGCGGGAAGAGGGGAGGTCACTTCAGAAGAGTTACTTGAGCCAAAACATGGAAGCAAGAACAGCAAGGAGGTCAAAGGATCCCCATTGTAGTAGCTAATTGGGGAGGAGGTACATGTTCAGCAGAGTTGAGATGTGGACTAATTGTGGAGAGTCATCCACAAGAACCCTCTGAGGATTTTGAACAGGAATGTCAGGTAATACAAAGGGGTGTTTTAGGAAGGTGAACCTCACAGCCAGTTAAACCTTTGAAAGGCATAACTTTACCCATAACGTAATTATTAAATCATGAAGGGTTAAATCTGTCCTCTGTTACATGTCACTACCTGGTTATAAGATTGCTATCAACTCATTTTGAGGTGTTTTTCAAGCCTGAAAAGCAGGTAACAGTTTTCCCTAACAGTACGCCCACATGCTTGAATTTGGGTGATAGAGAATAAAAAATGACTTTTTTGTATTCTTTTTGTATTCTTTGTTATACCATGAAGTGGTATTATGTTTATCCTCAGACACACACACACACACACACACACACACACACACACACACCCTCTAACACCAAGCTTTTTTTATCAGCTTGCTTGGTCATAGATCATACAACATAATATTCTTGGAAATTACACTTTTTTTATCTTTACATATCTGTTCTGTTCTTTATTTGTCCTCAAGGCTGAAAGTAGAACCTTTCTCCTACAATCTGTTTCTCTGAAAGATATCAGTGATGGGGCTTGTTGTCCAAAGAGTGGGATACATGGAGAGAAAGGTGTCTTAATGTTGGTTATATTAATGTTCTTACCACTACCAAGTTTTACCTTAACTTTCAGATCCCATCATAGCTTCCAAGAGACTTAATGGTGAATTTAACAAACTATGATAAAATCTTCAAAACTCTCATTTTTTTACAGGTAGTTTAAATACAAGTTGAATATAACTTGCAAAATCCTTACCTGTCACTGGAACCAAATAAGGAAAGTGACAATGATGGATATATTAAGATGGGAATTGATTATATTCCCAAATCTGGAAGATGTTGCTGTATGGTCTCTTAGAAAGTGTCGATTTTCTTCAGAGACATTTTGAAAAAAGAGCCACCCCCAGGCACAACTGCTCAGGCATCTTCAGAACTTAGGGATCATAGACCCAAGATATGTTGGTCACAGGGTACTATTTCTCCCTTCTATGTATAATTCTATACTTTTTTTTTTTTATAAACAGGGGATGGAGAATTGTCGTGGGAACATTCTGATGGGGATATCTTCCGGCAACCTGCCAACAGAGAAGCCGTAAGTGTGAATAGCTCGAATAATTCAACACTTCACATGCCACAGCATCAGGCCAAACTTTCCTCTCCCGATGGCACTGTCCCAGCAAATCCATAAAAGGGCTCATTTCTAACACTGTTTTTCTTCCCTTTCCTCAGAATTTTCTTCCCTTTCTTCAGAAATCATCTACCTGTAACCATGGGTTATTGGTAACAAGTGCTGGACAAGGACATGAAGAAGTCCTAGCCCCAGCCCATAGGAACTCTTTCAGTAGATCAGAAACTGGTAGTCTTTCAGGCTGACTTGCCAAATTTTGTCTTCTGTAAGGAAAGGATATCATGAACCATTTTTTTTACCATGGGGACTCTCTGTGGGATTGTGAGGTAGGGCATCCCCTCCTTTTGGAAGAGATAACTTGGACATGTCCACATAAACCCACTCCTAAGCCTCCGTCTCCTAATGATACAGCTGAAAGAGAAGATAGAGATTAACAAAGTAAGTCAGCAGGAGAAAGACAAATACTGGATGAATTCACTCGTGTGAAATATGAAGAAACAAAGGAACAGGCAAAACTCAAGAACCACAAATCCTGGTAATTAGACAGCAGAGTTGTGATTACCAAAGGGGAAGACGGATATGGGGAGTAAAGTGGAGGAGGGGCTCAATGAGCTGTGGTGGAGGATGATGGGTGTGTTCGTGGTGGGTGTGATATGGTAACATAGCTGAAGAGATGTGAATCTGAACTTCTAAAACATATTCTGTGTATACAGTCAATATTATCTTAATAAACATAATTTAAAAAGATAAAATGCAGGAGGAGGCTGCAACATCTCAGTGCTTCATCAGCATTGGTACTACTCTAAGAATAAGCCTTCCATATATTCCTCCCTAAATATAGTTAGCACAGCTCTTGTTCCTTTGTATTCTGCAGTAACAAAATAGAGCCTCACTCTCAAGACTCTGTGTCTGAGTAGAACAACATTTCATACTTCTTAAAGTCTGAAATGGTGATGTTCCAGTTCAAAGAATCGGACATATTAAAGGGTTACAAAAGTGTAGAATGTACACAAAGGCTTCCTTGCACATAAATGGCTACTCATTGTACCTTAGTACACAAAAGTCTATTCAAAGCGGCAGTATTCTCCTAAGAGCTCAACCAATGGAGGTAACCTAAATCGCTCATTAATTGGAGCATGGATACACATGCCCAAGCTATGGAACCCTGAAGCTGTTACTCGATGGATGATACAAAGGAAATGTGTAAAGGTGGAGACATCTCTAAGAAATATTATTTAAGCCAAACAAAGTGCAGAATACGATGCTATATTCTCATGTCCATGTGTGAAGAGTGTGTATGCACACATGCATGTAATGTATAAGAAAAGATGGGAAGGGTCACATGCCAGCAAGTTAAAAAGGGTCATCTCAGAGGGCTAACGTGGGCCAGAGGAAAGGAAGAATTTGACTATATATTTTATGTCCTCTGTTGCATTGAATCTGTTTCCAAGAACATGAGCTAGTTTTGCAATCAGTAACATGTAGGTAATTTTCTACAACCTAGAGGATTTGTTCTCAGTGAGCCCTGGGCGTAAGGCAGGAGTCTGGGGAGGGCAGGCCTGAGAACGGGGGAGGTGTGAGGAAGGGGTCGATGGGGGACCTGGGCAAATGGCCACGACTGGGTTCTGCTGTCGTTGCTCGCGCCCCTCCTAACTTGTACGTCACGGCGTGTCCACACCCACCACAGTGAGACAAAGTGACTTCTATTTGTTTTATTCTCTAGGAAAATCATTCTGTAGCCATTACTGTGTCTGAATGAGTGCAGAAGGACTGTGGGTGTCGGAACTGGAAAATGATACTCAAATATCACAAACGCAGCACTCCTGCAAGTGACCACAGGCAGTTTGCAGGTTAATGTAGACCCTGAGGAAAGATTTTCTCCACCTAGCTCTATCTGCTTCAGAGTGAGATTCCACCCAGATCCTGATAGGAAAGGATGTCAGTCTCCATGTTCTATGTTGTGCATTTCCTCTTTTGCTCAGTCTCGACATTTTTTTATTGAGGTAAGAAGTTGAGAGCACCTACATTAGTGAATGACGACCCAGTGCCATTCAAAACCAGATCTGTGTCACTGTCACTTTATGCTGGGTGCCTTACTTAAGCTGGATACCTGAGGGCCGAACCCTACACCCTGTGGCCACCTCAGCAGTCTCACCGGTAAGGCCACTAACTAGCCTTTCTTCTTGAATTTGACTCACGTTGTCCCCAACTCCATCCCTTGTCTTTCAGCCTCCTGGTTCTTACCAAACTGCTAGAGGTAGGACTGGACTTAATCTGGTACTTCCTGTAGCAGAAGAGGTCAAGTACAGAAGAATTATTGATTTTCAAAAGAGTTTCAAACTTATCTTTAGAAACAAACATTTGGGCCTAGTAGACCAAAATGTCCAGATGGTTCCACTTTATTATAAATAAATATTTTCCTTTGTTCTTAAAGGAGTAGATATTGTGGGATACGATTTGAATAATATGTAGCATCTGTAGTAATAGAAAAGTATGCGCTTGGCACATAGTAGGCACCCAATAAAGACATGTCGAGTGACTGGGTGTAGAAAGTGGAGTAAACTTGTTTGCGCTGGGAGGGTTTTCATTAATATGGATGCAGAGGAAATAGTCTCAAGTCAGAGAGAAATTCCTCACACTTGTTCTCTATTCCTGACGAGGCAGACATGAGTAGGTAAGGAAATACCCCTGACTCTGCTTTGCAGGACCCAATTTTTCTGCATGGGAGAAGAAACAACAGCCCTAAAACATATTTCCTACTCAGCAGACTGTCCCTTTATAGACTGTTCCTATTTACAGGGAACCATCAAAACCTCAGTTCAACAGAAACACAGCTGATGGGTTTATTTTGCCAAGTCAGCTGAAAACCATCATTGACCAAGTTTTATGAAGTGCACAGGAAGGAGAAACAGTGGTTCCAATATGACTCCTTTGTAAAAACTTGAAGCAGTTCCTGTTTGATTTCCACATCATAATTTCACATGAGCTGGTACTAGTACCGTGGTGTGGGGGTGGGGAGGTGACGTGCACCCAGGGTGGAAGCTAGAACATGAAAGTGAGCATCATTTTGATTTAGACAGCTGCCAAACGTTGATCTTGTCCCCGATTGATTACTCAGAGATTTACCTTCAGAAAAGTGAAAGAATGGGGAATAAATCAATTTGAAACAGCAACAATCCACGTGGCATTCATATTGTCAGAACTATGAAGGGAAAGGAACTGGCCAGTGTCTCCCACACACTGATAGTCCTAGGGGTGAGCATGAGAGAACTTTACTCACAGCTGTGTGCACTAGAGCACATATTGAAAATTTTTCCAAATTAAACCTTTATTTTGCACTAACCATGGATTCACTGGCAATGTGAAAGAGAACACCACGACGGTGCTTTGAAGACCCCACTTTAGACTTTGATGTTTTCCTGTCTCCATCAAAAAATCGACTTCCTCAGATACAAGGAAACAAACAAAAAACTCCTGGGACAATTCTACAATGATAGGGATTGTTCACCCCCAAGAATGAACCTTGTAAGAGCGTCTCCCGAAAGCTTGAGATACTTGTCAGTCCTTTCGTTAAGGGAAAGGATGTCCTCAAGGAACCCTGCAGAGTCTTGTGAACTCCACCCCCTACTCCTGCTTTCTGGACTCTACCCACTACTCCAGTGATTGGAAACTACAACTCCCAGCAGTACCAGGGAGAGAACTGCGAGGACCCAAGGGTGGAGCTAAGCAGGCATTCTGGGACTTTGGGGGATAAATAGGGCACCATTTCCTCTCTTGCTCTCTTACTTGGAAAACGGCTCTCAGGATCGTATGGCTCAGGGCTTTCAGTTAGTTACCAGAGCTCCAAGTCAGCCGAGCCGGTAAGATATTCCAGTTGTTGTTTCTTTTTTTCTTTTCCCTTTTTGTAAGTAAACCCATTTTGACCCTTTTGTGTGCGACTGCAGCATAAATGAATATTAAGCGCATGGGTGAGGCCCCACAGACAGGCGGCACAGTTCACACTGGGCTGCCCTGTAACACTTTCTCATCAGTACATCAAATATACCAAAAATATTGAGCAGGATAAAACAAAGCAGTGCTTTATGGTCATTTCTACCTAACTAGTTTTGGCCTGCTCTCTCAGGTAGCCTATGCATGGATGCATGGTTGGTTTTGAAGATAAGCTCCAATTTCACTTTCAACTCCAAGGCGTTAATGCCTTTTTCTTTTTGCTATAAGTTACAAGGTCAAAATGGCCTCTTTCATGTGTTTAGAGGAGTGACTCTAAAAAATCCATCACTTGTAAGTCGAAATCATCCTGCTACTCTCACGACCCTACTCCCTCACTGCTGTCCCCAAACAGATTATATATATAATTCTCAACCTTGGCTTTGAATTAGAGTCCCCTGGGGAAGAGATAAAAGTCTTGATAATCAAACCTCACCCCAGGCCAAATCCACCAGAGTTTAAGGGCGGGGGGGGGGGGTGAGCCAGGCAGGGGTCAGTAGTTCTTTCCATTCCCCAGGTGGTTCCATACACAGGGGAGGGTTGACCAGTGTTGTGAGCAGTTGTGAAGAGCACAGGGGATCTCCCTACCTGAGGGAACTGCTTTGAAACAGCTTTAGCCACATGTTTGTGGACCACTGAGCTTGACTAGACATGGTTTCTTCCATTTTTTTCTCCTCTTCCTTTTCCTTATTCCTGTTCATCTCCCCCCCCCCTCCTTCCTCCCACTCCTATACTCCTGCTATCTCCAAAAAAATTTCAATCTTCATTGCCACCCTAAATAAATTCCCTCTCCTCCCTAGCCTTAGTTTCTGACTGTAAAACAGGACTTAGAGGTTTAGTTAACTGGTCTAAAATAGGGGCCTCTGCTCAAAAGCACTGGAGTGTTTTTTTTTTTTTTCATCTTGAATAATTTTTCTACCCTTATTAGATGTCCAGGGTTCTGACTCCCTGGTACCAAAAGAAAAGCTTTCCATTTTGTGCTTGCCCTGTGTATCAGAGGACTTTCTGTTCTAGAAGCTTATCCTTGGTCAGAGACCTTCCCTTTCAAGTTCTAGCCCTGAAAATCGTCCTTCTCTAGCATCATTAGGAGGCTAAACTCTCCTCTGTGTTCCTTTGGCAAAACGTTGCCAAACTTCAGAAAGGACAGAACAATCTGTAATGGCCTTTGTGGAATGTGAGTGACTATGGCAGAAAAGATACATGAGCCATTGTAGGAATGAAGAATATTTTTACTGAGAATCCCATCCATGGGCCTGATAGTAAATTGATGCAAATTCTTATTTTTATAATAATGCATCATAATGGGCTTTCCTTAGATATAAGGAATAATGTTCTGTTAGTCTGGGTCCTGTTTGCTCTTTGTGTCTCTTGCTAATACCCCACTCCATAATCCCCAAAGCTAAATTTGCAACCTATGTGGCTATGGAACATAAATGTAATAAACATTTTACAGGATGGTATAGTCGCACCCCAGACTACCTTTGCAAGGTACCCTGCTATTTCTATCATTGAATGAAAGGGTCACCCCTTAATTTGCCTGTGAAAGATGTTTAATGTGTCCTTTCCCCCTAACAGTTGCCCCTGAAGAACAGCATTAATTTTCAAACTTCAGTTTCTAGTCTTCATTCATTCTGTGTTCTTGCACCAGTCTGTCTCAGCTCCTGGGAGAGGGCTGAGCAGCAGAACAGCAAATTCGTCATGTGTCTTGAACCCTTGCCAAAAGGGTGGCGCTCGGATTATTTGTACTACGGGACTCTAAGCTGGCATTAGGGGCCACAGCTCTCATTCATTCATTCATTCAGTAATATTTCATGAGCACCTTCTGAGTGTTAGATATTGTTGTATGTGCTGCATTGTAGCAGTGAACAAGACAAATCCTTGCATCTCTGGAGCTGACATTCTGCTACTGTCATGCATGGCCAGTTATTCTATCTGTGAATGTCTAAGTTACCTGACCTGTGCTATAATTTCATGGTTTTACATGTGGTTAGAGTGTGGTGGATCTTCTCTAGACTATACTTGACTTCAGTCTCATCATCCTGGCCAGCCCACCCTGCACACTATTGGTGTTCAGTGCTTTGAAACACAGTTCTGATTATTTCCCTATTAAAAAAAATACCCCTTAAAGGTTTCCACATCCTCACCTCCATTGCCTACCAAATAAAGCCCTCACCCTTTAGCCTGTCATTTAAAGTCTTCCATGATCTGGCGACAACCCATTTTTGGAATGCTAGCCCTCAACTGTTCCCTTTTATGGACTCTGTTTTCTGCTACACCTTCTCAACTTGGAAATCTCTTCCTGGAATATTCGTCACCAACTCTGTCTGTAAAAAGTCTACCCACCCTTTATGGCCCAGGACAGAAACCCTCCCAACTAGAAGTTTTTTCTCATCCTAATTTGCACAGCATTTTCTACTTCTGTTGCCTCACATTGTGCTTTGTGTTACAGAATTCTAACTTAACTCGTGTTACAGACTTCTAACTTAACTCGTAACCCCGAATGTGAGAGTCTTGGGAGTGGGAAGGACACTCGACGCTTTGGGGCTGTTTTCTCTCAGGAATTTGTGAAGCTAGTCCAATCTTCTACAAGAAGAGAGAAATCTCAGCACATTGCCAGTTCTGCTTCCAATTCCCAGCCTTATTTCTTTGGGGTTCAGATCAGTGCTCATCACTAGAAATCATCAAATGACTTCGAATGTATATAAGTGCATCTCTGCCTTCCCACTGGTGGATCCAGGGAATGATTCTGTACTTTTCATTTCACAGAGACATTCTTACCACCGTTCTCATTACGACCCTCCACCGAGCCGACAGGCTGCAGGTCTGCCCCGCTTTCCTGGGGCCAGAAGCCACCGGGGAGCTCTCATGGATTCCCAGCAAGCATCAGGAACTATCGTGCAGATTGTCATCAATAACAAACACAAACACGGCCAAGGTAAGGGCCATGCTCCTGCCAGACCACATCCACATGGGTTGCCAGCAGCGCTGGTCTGTGGAGGGCTGGAGCTGGGGAAAGGCCCTTTCTCTGGGGGCACAGTATAAGTTCACTGTGGCTCTCTTCAGCAGCAAGCCTGCACAGTGTATGTGGACAAATGACTCCAGGGGACTCTTTGGATTTCCCTAAATATAGCCAGGAGCAGAGCTTCTATTTCAGGTGGTCCTGCCTGTTCCTAAATAGGACAAATGGCTAGACAGCAGTGACTCTGTGACACCATCCAGCGTTTTCTAAGTTGCCCCTAGCAGTTGAAGGTCCATTGGTAAAGTTCCTTGAGTCTTTAACTGAATGAGGGTTGTTTTTCATTCTCAATAGTGAAAGGAGCCCAATATGCAAAAGTATTCAGCATCAAGCACTTCTAAAGCTCTAATCCATACCTTAGAAATGGTAACTCTCACACCTCGGTACATCCAGATTGTCCAGGAGCTATTGTTCAAGACACATATTGGAGCCCCACACTTAAGAATCTACTTTGTCTGAGGATATTGTCCTTAGAAATGAGTAATCCAGTGAGAAATCCAGAAACTTCCTGGCTGAGCACCAGGAGGCCTGATCAGGTTAACACCGACATGCAGCCCACTCAGCCGACCAGCTGGCTGTAGCAGGCACCCACACACCTCCAGGGCCCCGGGGGTTCCTTCCTGCACAGAGCTCTCTGGCCTCCACACCCCCCACCCCAGTAGCAAGGAGGGGGGAGAGGAGAAATTCAATCAAACAATTGACTGCTGCTTACTTTTTTAGGCATCGTGTCAACCAGCTCTTCAGAGCAAAAGCTCAGCTGGTTCCTTTTTATGAAACCACAAACATGTTTTGTTTCCTTTAAAGGAAAAACAAATCAAAGGCAGTTCTCTGAATGGGTTAAAAGTAATAAATTACTATACCAAATGATTGAATAACATGGGTGAAAAACAATCCGTTACAAAGAACTCCTACTATAAATCTCAACAAAGCTAGTCAAGCCAAAGCAAGATGATCACATCTGTTACTAGTTAGATGTAAATTTCAGATTACAGATAAAAAAAATTAAATTGCTTTTGAAACTAACAGGCTTAACAGAAGAACATTCAAAATAAAACTCTTAATAAAAAATGGCGATGTATTAGAAGAATTGGAAATATTTACTATCGATCTGGGTTTGATTTGAAATTTATTACGTTTAGATTCCGAGGCATTCTGATATGAATTTATGAAACGAGGGGGAGGAGTTAGGTAAAGATGCAGTTTGATTTTCAATCCTAAATTGCCTCCAATAGATTCCATTTGCTCTGAAAGCATTTCAAAGCTTTAGAAAAAAGGGTGGAGAAATGGACTTTGAAAATCCTAAATCCCATAATTTCCACAGGCCTCTTCATTTTCAGGGCAGGGGCTCATCCCTGATTTTCTCCTCGTCCTGCAGAACCCCAGCTGGTTTGCATTTATTCCTTTGCCCCCAATGATTTCGATGCAGCAGTCCACGCCTGACCTTCCTATTACCGTTCACTAGAGAATCACTGTCTCCACCCCCAACCTCCAGTGCCCTAGCTGGATGATTCAAATCATCTTGAGGATTTGTTGGTGGGGAGAAAGCTGTGTTTCTCTCTGGAGGATTGATCTCACCCTGTGCACTTTAGGGTGTAGACCCATGCCTGGTCTGTATGTCCCCTCAGTCCAATGTTTATGGGAGAAGAGACCTAGCGATACATATGAGGAGCCTTCCCTGTCCTGTGCCTTACCTCTCCTGGCAGTTGTGTCTCCTCTGAGCTCCACTGACTCAGTCCCTTGCCAGAGTCAAAGATACAGTGATGGGAAGCCACCATTTTGAACTTGAGTCCACCCAACATTTCCTTAAAGTGGGCTACGTTCTCGTTGTCACTCTATGGCACTGTCTAGGACACAGTGTCACCAGGAGTGGAGAAAGGTGAGGGAGGGTAGGAAACAGAATAACACATCCGGCCTGTCTTGTCATGTGAGTCTACCCACAGGGATGAGACGCACAGTTCAGAGCTCAAGTCCCCGTTCTACCCTCTGTACGGATGGGTGCTTCTCTGGTGTACGTTCTTGGAAATCTTTATGTGGACGACCTGTTGGAGCGCCTAGCTGGAGTAGCAACTCTTGCAAAGCCCACGAAAAGGCAGCCAACATCATCCATATTTCCTAATGTGACCCAGGGGACTTGATGAGAAAGAAATAGCTCAATGATTCATCCTTCTGAGGCCACTGTCTTGCAGCCAAATCAGTCAATTCCTAGAAACGCCCCAAGTGGGGCTTTTCTCCCACTCTAGCCCCACCTTAAGCGCTACAACCCACCCTTGAGATGTTGTTGATTGGGATGCCGACAGGTCTCTCTGGGTATGATGAGGTGATGGGAATAATGAGAAACATACCCATTTCCAATCGTGGCTTAAAATCTCCAGAATGTCTGAGCACTTTCTAAAAAGGAGCACAGGCCTCCTCAGACCACCCCATTGCCAGCCTCATGCAGTTCTTGTCCTGGAACCTATCTCTGTGCCTTATAGAGGCAGCCCACTGTAAGGTCGGTTTGCACTGAGGGATGTTGCCATGGCTCCTTCCCTTCATGGGCCTCTCAGCCTGCAGTCCAAACACTGGTGTTTTCAAGGTCTATCAGAAAACCAAGGTTTTCAGCTACTCTGAACAGATAGAACTGTTTTTATTTAAATATTGTATTTATTTATTATACAAAACTGGGGTATAGGCCAGAGGTGCAGGGGCTGTGAGAGGCTTCACCGAGACAGAGTGGGGGCAGAACAGGCAAATGGACAAAGTACACTGCTCAGGGGAGCAGCAAGCGAGTCTTGGAGCAAAGCACTGTGAAGCTGGCCACAACTGCTTCAGTGCGAGTTCAATCCCCAGCCCCAAACGTGATCCACATGGTGCAGCAACCTCTCCTGACTCGCTGCACCATGTGGATCATGTTTGGGGCTGGGGATTGAACTCGCACTGAAGCAGTTGTGGCCAGCTTCACAGTGCTTTGCTCCAAACCACTGCGCCACCAGGGAGGGCTCCAGATAGAACTGTTTTTACACATTCGTTCATTTAAAAAATATTTATTGGTGGCCTACTATGTGTCATCAAAGGCTGCTGCTGAAGACTCTGAAACGTTGACAGTAGAACAAGGCCCAAGCCAATTTTTTGTTACACAGGATGCTCTGTTATCTCATCCCCATGGCCAGCATAGGAACAAAGGATGCTGATGCCATAAGGAGTTCAGGGCTTGGGTTCTGAGCATAGGGGCCAATTTTGTTTTTCGAACTTTTAATTCCTGGCTCTATGTTCTCTTCCAGTGTGTGTTTCCAATGGGAAGACCTATTCCCATGGCGAGTCCTGGCACCCCAATCTCCGAGCTTTTGGTGTTGTTGAGTGTGTGCTGTGCACTTGTAATATCACCAAGCAAGAGTGTAAGAAAATCCACTGCCCCAGTCGATACCCTTGCAAGTATCCTCAAAAAATAGATGGAAAGTGCTGCAAGGTGTGTCCAGGTAAAAAGGCAAAAGGTGCGTTGGTTGGAAGTCCTATCTTCGGTTGACTAAAAGCCCTATGTTGTCTTTCTTAATGTTTTTTGAGCACCTGTCATGTGTTATTATAGTGACAATAGTTCTACTAATAATGAACTTAGTTGTCTCCTCACTTAAAGGCTGATAAGTGATTGCTTGGAAGAAATTTAGTACAAAGAAATAGACTGGGATTTGCATGTGTCAAAAATCCCTAAGTGCCAAACATAAGACTTGTTTTCTACAAAATAGGTAAATTAGGTTACTATGATTATTAGGATGAACACCTTCAGTTATATTACTATTGTAAAAAAAGATTTATTTATTTATGCATCCAGAACTGGGGTGCAGGCCAGAGGTGCAGGGAGAGTTGAGAGGATTCACCAGAGACAAAGTGGGGAGCAGAAAAGGCCAACTGATGAAGTATACTGCTGAGGGGAGCAGCAGGCGTGTCAGGAGAGGTCTGCTGCGCCATGTGGACCACCACCCTGGCTGGGGATCGAACTTATGCTGAAGTGGCTTTAGCCTCTCAGTGCTTTTCTTCAACCTGATGCACCACCAGGGAGGGCCCTATATCACTTTTTAAATACTCAAAGCACTAGCAAACCCATTTCCCTCTCAGTCAAGATGACAGACATAGTAAAAGAAGAGTAGATTCTGGTTCTAATCTAACTTGACGTTGGATATGTGTCATATCTGCTCTACATCTCATCAGTCTCATTTGTATAATGAGAAGTTTGGAAGAATTGATTTTCAACTCCATTCCAAACATGCCAACAATATTATTTCTATTAAAGATAAGAAACCTGAAGCATATAAAGTAAAATGACATGCCCAGATGCACACAAACAGATAATAAAGCCAAGGCCTAGAACCCAAGTCATTTTCCAGGCTAGTAAAAAATGCTGGGCCCTCCCTCATTGCACAGTGGGTTAAAGAACAGCACTAAGAATCTAAAGCCACTTCTGCATGAGTTCGATTCCTGCCTACCCCGGAGGAGATTCACATGACTGGCAGACCTCTCCTGACCTGCCCGCTGCTCCCCTCAGCAGTGTACTTCGTCGACCTGCCTGTTCTGCTCCCCACTCTGTCTCCGTGAATCCTCTCACCGCCCCTGTACCTCTAGCCTCTCTGGCCTGTACCCCAGTTCTGAATGCACAAATAAATACATCTTAAAAAAAAAATACTGACTGACCAAAAGAAAAGTTTGCCACCCAAGAGGCCTAGGAGAAATTTCTCTTGAATTTTCATAGAATGTTGACTAATTGAATCAATAACATCTCAGTACCCTCCCCCCAAAAAGCATAAAGGCCTGGCTATGTTTCATCCTATAACATCACTCAGTGTAACTTGTGAGCACTAAAGTAATGTACAACCTCATACAAAATGATGCCACCGGTGTTGCTGGATTGCAGTTCTTGGTGCTCCTTCACAAAGTAGTACTGAAACAGGAAGCAGAAGCCTGGTCATCAATGTGGCAATGATCACTAACAAAATCTGCACCTGGATCCTTTCTTTTCTCAAACCTTCTTCTATCAGCCATTAAATACAGATTATATTGTAAAAGAAATTGAGACATTTACTGAGCTTCCACCTATGTTTATGACACTCTGGTAGGTAAAGCTCAGAGCCATCCCCCAACATTGGTTCCTCCATCATTGTTTAATACTAGGCCCTACAGTCTGTATTTCCCGTTCTCTCTTGCACTTGGGTTGGCCTCTCTGAGCACTACAATGGGTGTAGTTGCGATATGTGTAACTTGTTAATTAACTCTTTAATTTCTTCCATCTTATACTTTCTAAGGCTTTCTTGTCGTCCCCCCCACCCCCCTTACTGACTGGGAAATAAAAGTATAGACCTGAGTATTGGGATTGTGATGTAAGGGCTTGGGGATCAAGCATCTAACCCTGTCTCTGCCCTGGCTTCCTGTGTGACCACGAGCAAGTCATTTCAGCTCTCTGTTTCCTCCCCTAGAAAATGAAAGGATTAGATTATTTTTTAGGACCCTCCCAGATCTAACATTAGCAATCAATAAAATAAAATATGTCTCTTCTAGGTACTTATAATTTCTTAGGCCAGTCTGGAAAGTATTTCTATAAACACAGAGGAAAATGTGGAGAGGTGCATACCTATACCCCTAAATTATATACAGTGTTGTCAACCATTGTTACTGCAATAAAATTAATAAGCTTAGAATAAAATAAACATTAAAATATAGATATTTAAAATGTAGGCAGTGAGCTAAATTGTTTAGTCTTTCAACCTAGCCACTGCCTTACGAGTAGCAAGCAAATATGAACTTAGTGGTAATTTTTTGAGCATCTTCATGTAGGCCAGTGATTTCCAAATTTGTCTGCCCATTGGAGTCCCCTGGAGAGCTTCTAAAAATACCTCTTTTCCATCCCCAGATATTATAATTTCATTGATTTTAGGTGTGGCTTGTGCTATCAAAGTGTTCAGAGTAACACAGGCTTTATTAATGTGCAGACAAGTTTGTGAACCAGTGATATGTGGCCAGGGGTTTATGGGATTGCTATTTAAAGTGGTCTGAGGACCACCAGCACCTGGGAGTCAGTTAGGATTGAAGAGTGTCAGGCCCCAGCCCAGACATCCTGCATCAGAATCTGCATTTGAGCAAGGTCCACTAGGTGATTCCAGTATAACTTAATTGAGCATTTACTTGCAGCACAAACAAAATCTTAGTGTAACAGCCTTCGTCTTCCAGAATCATTGTGGGCAGGGTGAATAGGAAGGACAGCAATACTTAACCTGGAGTGGAAAATCGGGGCATTAAAATTGACGAGAAAATATATTCACCAGCAGTGGGGGGAGATCATATTCTGAGGATGACATGAATAGGAGGCCCACTCAACCACAATAGCCTATTGTGATTTCCAAGTCTGTGATCTCATTAGATCCCCAAACCTTGTGATGTCACCAGCACAATTTTTAGTAGTTTCACCAACACAATTTTTTTATTCTATCAAGTGTTTAACACCTGTAGTCATGTCAGTAACACAATGGAATGATTTCAAACAATAGCCAGTAGTTACATAAGCTACTCTAGGTAAGATAAGTTCACCCACTATATAATACCCCAATTTAAATCTCAGACCTTCAGACCAAATGTCTTTTTATTGTCTGTTTAGGAGTTTATTGATGCAATTGATTGAATGAGTAAAAGACTCAAATAGGTGTGAGAGCAGAATATAGAACAGGTATAACCCTTTAAATAAATGACCTTTCAAGTTGCTAATATTTATTGAAACCTTGACATTTACATAACTCTTTGTCTAAGCAATTCTACCCCAGGAGTCATAAGAAAGCAATGAGTTATGCATAAAGATATAAAAACAAGGATTCTTACTGCAATGCTGTTATAATAGTAAAAAATTGGGAATGATCTAGAAATCTTCCAATGTGGAAATAGGTATATTTTTTGATTGAGGTAGCATGATTTTCAACACTGTGAAGGATTGAAAGGTATAGGATCACACCTCTTCAAATGTTATTCCAACACAAGTGGAAATATTTAAGTGAATCATGATGCATCTGTAGTGTGGGATGTAATACAACCATGAAAGTCATAGCACAAGGATTAAAAACACAGAAAGATGCTTGCAAATATCTGTTAAGTACAGAGAGCAAGCTATGAAGCAATATGTAAATTATGATTACACTTCCTGTGATGAAAATAAAGTGTTTATAATATGCTTTGACAAAAAGAAAAAGAGGGGAGGGCATATGACAGAAACTGTGACTATCTTTGGGTGACTGAATTCAGGGTAATTTTTATTTTATTTTTTCACATGATCCAATTAAATGTTTCATTGTAACAAATGATTTTAGCCTCCTCCAGCAACAAACTCAGGCCAGGATTAAGGCTGTGACTTTCACTTCTGTTCCCTTTCCTGGGTAGAGGTTGGTTTGTGTAGGACTTCCTCAGAGGTCCCCAATTCACCTCTCACACCCTCACGTTACCCCTGTGTGTATGTCTCTATTCCCATAACAACACACTCCTCTCGGGTTACAGTATTCAGAGCCCCTGCTAAGACTTCAGTTTCCTGGACTGGGATAATACTTCTCCCCTGTCAGCCATCACCACTTCCACAAGGAGCGACTTCCCAATCTTTTGGTTGTAGAGAGCTCAGGATAGGAGCACTCTTGTGGGAGGTGGGAATGGCTAAAAATGTGTTCAGCATGACTTGCTTTCCCTGCATGAAATGATGGGAGGTGAGCTTGGAGTAATCAGAAAGCAACTTGAGGTGAACGGTTTGGCCGAATAGTCCCACTCTATTTACTCTTCTTGTTTTCAAGTACCAGCCAGAGTTGAGTTGCTAATGGATTTTGTTGTTTGTAGATCTTTTTTGGTGAGTAAATAAAGATCTTGAGGGGAAGGGTTGGTAGAACAAGGCGACTCTTGACACTGGGAGAACTTCTAGCATGTCACAGGTATTGCCAGGGCCATCATGAATTTCACAGGACATGTGAAGCCATACCCAGTACTATGCTTGTGTGTAAAAACAAGTGAACTTGGCTTTCATTCTAAATGTAGTAAGTAAAATACATGGCGCCCCCTCCGTAAGCAGTGTGTGACCTCTTCTCTTCCTGTTTGAAAAGTGCTAGCATATCCCATAATTCTCTATCATGGGTAGAATTTTCATCTCCGTAAAAGTGTTCCTGTTGATCATCTATTTTTGCTGAGTGTGATGTATTTCACAAGCAACAGTACATGCATGCACAAATGTGATTTAACCATGACTAAATTCTAATTGCTTCCTGATTCCAGAAGAACTTCCAGGCCAAAGTTTTGACAGCAAAGGCTATTTTTGTGCAGAAGAAACCATGCCTGTGTATGAGTCTGTGTTCGTGGAGGATGGGGAAATCACCAGGAAAATAGCACTAGAGACCGAGAGGCCACCTCAGATAGAGGTCCACATTTGGACCATTCGAAAGGGTAAGCAAGACAGCATTAATTTGTATGTGCGTGTGTGTGTGTTTATGTGCTTTTCTAAAGCAACACAGAAGAAAGGGAAGACACGCCTTCATTTTGCTTTAATCCATTTGCTTGGGTTAGAGGTTTCCAGATTGTTTAGAAGTGAACACATGTGACCTTCACCATGGCCTGGGCTAAGAAGTAAGTGTGGACCCTTGGGTTTTGTCGTCTTATGCACCAAAGGCCAGAAGTGTGGTTTTCCAGGAGTTCTGCACATCAGAATTATTTGGGAGAGATTTATATAATCACACACACACACACACACACACACACAAATTATATAGAAAATGGCTGGGCTACCCCCCGAGACTTGGATTAACTGGCTGGGAGAACGCCTGTGTGCATGTTTGTTCTTAAAACTCCACAGGTGACTCTAAAGTGCAGCCATGGTTGCAAACCACCAAACTGTAGTCTGCCATTGTTCCCAGCATGAAGCTTAACAGACATGGAAGTGCATCATTCCGTTGAAACTAAGGTTCTCCAACTTTGTGCCCTGCATAAGAGAAATTTAAAATGTCATCTCCACCCTGAAGATTCTACTCTCAATGGAGGAGCAGTGCCCATCATGATGTTCAGTGCCTGCACTGGTTATACACATGGCTTCCATCGCCAGCTGCGTTCTGTGGCTGTGAGCCTGCAGCTGTTCAAACCACTCCGTAGACCAAGGCCACTGCTGATCCACTTGATTCAAGTTTCCCAGGGGTCCGAGTACAGAGGGCATTTCAACTGGAGTGATGCACAACCTTTTCTGCTAGCTCCTGCAGTGCTCCAACTTGAGTCCACTTCAGCATCACTTGAGGGGCCACTCTATAACCAGCCTACCTGCTCCCGGAGTGAACTTTATAAAGTTTGGCGCTAAAGGCTTGCATGTTTAAACAAAGAGCCAGAGGATTCCAATGCAAGTTGCATAGAAATAATTGCTCCAGCTGTCATAGGTCTTCTTTTTCTCCTTTTTCGCAAGAACCTTCCTTTCTTGAAAGAACTAGATTTCCCTCACCCCATTCAAAAAATAAGCTAGAACACACATATATTTTTCACCCGTTTATTTTTGCTCTATACTTACGAATGTTGATTTTCCATCACGAAGTCCCTAGCTTCTCTGGAATTGGCCACCTAGGAATAAGCACTGTTCTGTTGGCTTCCCGAGTGGTGGGTTCGCCCCACATCTCTCCCTCCACACAGGCATGTGGGTGTTTTTCAGCTTGCTGGTGTTGTATCTAAATAACCTCTTGTTCACAGTGCTGGGTAATCAAGGTCTGTGCTTAGTGGACAGAGAAAACCCAGGCTTTATTTATTTGCGCTGCTCCCTGCAGACCTCTTGAGGATTGGGCGGACTGGGAACATGACACTCCATAACTGCAAGTCAGCTTTCAATTGTTTATGCGTTATTCTGCTAGCGGCCACCCGAGTAAAGTTGAGACTGTGGGCGCCCCTTTTAAAGCTCCCCAGCTTTTATGAGGGAAAAGCTAAAGGAGCTGTGGATATTTGCCAAAGGAAACTATGCTTTTTGGTGAGTTCCAGAACAAGGATGGCTTCTCCATTTAAACAAACAACCTGCCTGCAGGCCCACTGCTGGCTCCATTGCTTAGCCAGGAGGGCAGCCCAGTGGTTTGGCAGAAATCTTGTGTACCCGGACTTGGGCAAGGGCAGATTTTCTAATACTGCCTTTGACTGCAGAAGCTCCAAGCAGCAACCATGCTGGATTCTGTGGCTTTTCTTCGGAGGGGGTCCCAAGGTCAACAGTACTCTCCCTCTTAATCTCCACCCTCTGGAGAACCAGGGGGAATGCCAGTGAGCCAAGGAGACAAATGGAGTCAATCATAAGCCTTGAGCCATCCAAGTTCCCGGTTAAGACCATTACATATCCCAACTCAATACTCCCAAGCCCGAGTAAGGAGATGCATGCTCAGCCCAAGCAGGAAAGGGCTGGTGGGTCTAGAGAGTGTCTGATCACCTGCACTGCTTTTTGCGTGGCCCCAGGCATCCTCCAGCACTTCCATATTGAGAAAATCTCCAAGCGGATGTTTGAGGAGCTCCATCACTTCAAGCTGGTGACCAGGACCACCCTGAGTAAGTGGTACCTCCTTTTCTGGAAAGTGAGGAAAACACATCCAGTTTTCAATAGAGCGTAGTCCCAAATAAAGTGCCTCTGCGCTCTCAGTGAACATGCACAGCATTCAATCTTAGCACTAGAGTGTGTTCTGTCTCTCCTCTGGGTGGCACAACTGAATGGGATGTCTGAATGAAAACTTGGCCATGAGGAATACAAAGCCAGGGATAGTCTGCATGTCACCTCAGGTCAGGCTGTTTCAGGAAAACTGCTAACTTCACATTCTCAGAAGTGTCGGAGAAAGGCACAGGGTTCCAGGTCTGGTGTGTCTGTGGCGACTACTCATCTGAAAGGATGTGACCTCTGGTAGTGGTACTGAAAGACAGAGAGGAAAGGGGTACCCCATGTTTTGTCAGCTGGATGGGAATCTTTGGAATTGCCGCTGGGTGCTCATGCTTCTTCAGAAGCACTCAAGTGCTCATACAGAGGTGCCACTCGTGCACTTCTATGCTAGATGGAGACCTAGGGACTCTATATTGCTATGCACAGGGGTGGGGGGGAGCCCTTCTAAAGGGATAAAAGGCACAGAATCTCTATCCATGGGGAATTTTAGTGGGCGAGACAGAGCATGCAACTGCCTTCCAAATGAATCTGTAGAGTTCTGAGCACTTAAATACCTGAGTACTCAGAGGAATCTGTGAAGAACAATGAGATGAGAGCCAGGTGGGCTAAGGCTTAGTCTAGTAGGGGAAGACTTCAGGGAGGAGGTGTACTTTGAAAGAGAAGAGTGTAACTGTTAACAGGTCAGGAAATCAGTCCTGGGAGACGGTGTCAACTCCTAAGAAGAGACTCAGACAGGAGAAACCAAGAAATGTGGGTGTGAGTGGGTGGGTGTGGGTGAGGAACAATTACAAAGGCAAAAAGTGTGTTGTTATTACAATACAAAACAAAAGGAAAACAGGCACTTATAAACCAGAGAGCTCCTACATGTAGGGGCACAGAGAAGGATCAGAAGGAGGGAGGGATGTGGGGGACTATAATGATGCCGGGTGGGCAGGGGGGGAGTAAACATTGTTGTAAAATGAACAATAATGTAAATAGATATATGAATTTTATAAAGCCACATAGGTGCACTGAGCGATGAGAAGCCTTGGAGGTAGGAAGTGGTTAGGGGGCCTGGAAGAAGCGGGTGAGAGCTTCAGATAAAAGGCAAGTAGCACTGGTGGTTGCTGCAAAGTTCCAAACAGTGTGTAGTCATGTGAGAATGGTGCTTTGGAAAGATGTGGCTTGGCTGTTCACTGGATTTTCTTGGCACATACTTTATTGAAGCCAGATGATGAAGAGTCCACTATGCCATCCTATGAAGTTAGGAAGTTCTCTGTCTGCTGACCAGAGAACAGATCTGGTCCCAGTTTTTAAGCAAGTGAATGATGCGTTCAGATCTGTTTTTTACAAAGAGGTAATTTACTTTGGGAGTCAAAGAGCTGTGGATAGTCTGAATCCAGAAGGGATGATCCGAGCAGGGGAAGAGACCGCTCTGAAGGACACTTCTATGGTTAAATCATCAAGATCAGTAGAAAAGAGCGAAATGACCTGGAGAGAAACAACTCCCATGTTCACAGCTTTATAGACTGTGGGAATAGTAATATCTTTTACTAATGGGAAACTCTGAAGTCATGCAGACATAGGTGAGGGGACAGAATGTTGCTAAAGTGGGAGTAAGAATAGCATGTGGGCTCAGGAGAAAGCAGAAGGTGGCAGTGCTAGAGGAAGGAGCGATGAAGACTCAAGAAACCCAAATCAGTATCTGGGCTCACAGAAGTGAGCAAAGCTCCAGGTGGGGTTTCCCAAGGAGCCCAGCAAGCCACCAGAATAGCCAACAACCCGCTGGTGCAGCATTTTGTCAGTGCTGTAATATGTAATATGTTGTTAAAATCCCAGGCACAATACTTCGGTTTTACTCAGTAGGAGACAGTTGCATATTATCCTTGAGATCCTTTTGTGTTGAAATGAAAAGCCCACAGCCTGTTGTCTATGTCTGTCCCCAGAAGTGAATTGGGGGTGATTTTTTCTGAAATCATCTGATACCTGTAGTCCATTTGTACCCCTTCCCTGTGGGTCGCTGAGTGCATGGGTAAGGGCAGGGTGTGTTGGGCAACTTGCTAATTGCACTCTCATTGGGCCACTTTGTGACTTTGTGTTTGCCTTTCAGGCCAGTGGAAGATATTCACCGAAGGAGAAGCTCAGATCAGCCAGATGTGTTCAAGTCGTGTGTGCAGAACAGAGCTTGAAGACTTAGTCAAGGTTTTGTACCTGGAAAGGTCTGAAAAGGGCCACTGTTAGACAAGACAGACAGTGTGGGGGAGGGAGAGCGAGAACACACGAGCTGCAGCCGGCCTGCAGGCTTATTCTGCTTAAATCAACAGTCCCTGAAAGCCCACGCTCCAGCGCAGTTCATTTTTCACGCCATGCACAGCATGACTTGCTCCTTTATGTGGAGTGTGTGTCAGCCCTCAGCCATCTCCTCCAGAGAGACTAGAAGAGTCTTGAATGGTTTGAGGGAGAAATAGGACTAGAACACCCCAACACCACTCTACTTTCGGACAGGATCACATTTTTCTACAGGTTAATGACTAAACAAACCCCCAGGGTTTCTAATCTAGGAACTTATTGCAATGAAAGAAAGAGAAGGGGAATACTTAGTAGGAGTTCTGTAGTACGGAGAGACTATTGGTATGAAATTATACTCTTGAACTTTTAAATTCTTGTTTTGAAAAGAATTAACTTGTCATCCTCACGCACAGGCACAGGGGCACATACCCACACACCCGCACACCCACAGAAAACCACAGCCTCCATTCTGAGGCAACACCAGCATAGTTCTCCCATTCTACCCCTTGCTTGCCTACAAAGTAGCTCGGAGGGAGTTGGAACTCAGAGGGATAAATAAGGAGTTGTGAGCAGAAGGCTCTGCTTTGAGGTCTGTGGGATGGTTGTTGAAGCCCCCAAGTCTGGTAGAAGGGTGAAGACTAAGAACACCTTTTCGTCGCCATATTCATTCTGATGTGGTAAATACATTTCCCCACTCCCCACCAAACCTGTGGTGGTCACTAAAGATATGAGAGTTGGGTACTATTTCCAGAAACTGAATCTGTATAAGACAAAATAATTGCTGAAAAGAGGAGTGAGTAGAGGTCACCAAGGTTTTTTTTGTTTTTTTTTAAGTCAATAAAATTCACCCATAAGTAGCTCAATATTCACTAATTTTCTTGAACCCAAAGTTCCCTAGTCCAAAAATTTAGGTTAAATGAAATTCTAGAAGTGACTTAAAATGGCAGTTTCCCTTCACCAGTTACTGGAGTTGATTTTCACTTTGCAAAGGAGGTCAGTGCTCATGAGTCTCTGAGAGTTGGTTTTCAGTTGGAGTTTGTGTTCACCTGGAGAATGGGCATTCTGATAAAGATCTTTATCCTAAATCTACCTACCATCCTCATCTACTAAACATGGATTTAAATCACAAATCCTAGTGAACACTTCTCCAAAAATGTCGGTTTGAGCCCAGTACCAGATCATAAATTATCCATTTTGAGGCCTGGCTTTAGAAGTCATCCTTGTGGGAAAACTATAAATTCTCCACCACAACGATCTCAAACCTGCCTTCTAGATTTATCTCCTCTGAGGGGCATGAATGAACTCTACTGAGTACTCAGAAATATTAAGGACCCATAAATTCCATATTTCCCACTCCATGACCATAAATAAGAGGACCATTTTTTTTTTTCCCCTTAGTGCAGTTGACATCAGTAGAAAAAATATAAAAGGTTCAGTCTTTATGACAGTCTGACATAAAGGAGTCTGTTCCCATAAAAGATACGGGCCTTGTCGCCAGGCCTTCCTGGGACAAGCCCCTTAACCAGCTCCTCACACATTCTCTTCAGGAAAGGGAGTTAAGACCTCCAGGGCTGCTGAAAGGCCAGAGAGCATTGTTTTTTGGGGGGTGGGGGCGGGGTGTTAAGTAGCTGCTGCTTCCTTCCCAGAGGTGGCAGTATTTCCCTAGCATGGAAACAAGTACCCGGATCCTGAAGCAAAGCAGTGATTTCCCCATTGATGACTCATCCCCAAACCTTCCCACCCAGGTGTTCTCTGAAAACTCAACCTTAAGGGAACACCCAGAGAGCTTCCCTAGATAGACTTCTGCCCTCGGGTGCTGGGACACACCTTTTCCAAGTGCTGGCTGAAGCAGGAACCCAGGAGCTGAGCTAGGCCAACTCAAAACCCTCCAATGTTTGCTGCTGTGTAGCGTGTAGAGCCCATAGGGAGAAGAGGCCAACCTGTGCGTAGTTAGTAGAGAGGAATGTGGTTCTTCTTGTGTATTTATTTGTATCATAAACACCCGGAACAACAAAGATCATGGGCACCAGGTAGCAGTTGTAGCCATTTTATAGTTAACTCATGTAGACAAGTTAAAAGTAACATAACAGTATTACCCTTTCACTCTTCTCACAGGACATGTACCCGAATATGGTACTTATTTATCTAGTCACTGTATTTCTGGATTCTTAAATTAATAAAAAATGTTAATTTTGAAAAATCCCCTTCTGGAATGTAGTGTGAATGATTGACTCTACTCTGTGCTGACCTGCAACAGGGTGACAGGTGACAGGTGGGCTGGCCATCTCTACTCTGCTTGACACACCCTCTCACACTATACAGCTTCATGGTTAAGAGTGGGAACTTCATTGTCAGACAAGCAGGTTTTGAAACCCAGCTCTGCTTATCAGCTGTGTTTGTCAGTCTCCGTGGCTGTAAAATGGGGACAATGCTGGTTATTGTACTTTGCTGGCAACCTTGCAGTGAGGTTTAATTGAGCCAATATGTAAAGTGATGGGAATAGTGTCTATACATAGCAAGCATTCATGGATGATCACAGATGTTCAAGGATGGATGGCATGGCCCTGAGAATGGCCATTGATTTCTGACTTCCTTATAAGCCCAGGTATTTAAGTTGTTGGAGACGGAAGGCCATTCGTTGACTTGGGTTTCAAAAAGATCTAAACTTTGGTCTGCCCTGCACTGGTAGATTTACTTAGGGAACAGGTTAAAAATATTGTCACACATCTGGATGTAAACCAAACTCCTTCAAATCTCAAATAGTAACTAGATTTGTGCTGTCACAGAAGCCCAGATGTATCAGAGCTGACAAGTCAAATGACACCAGGACAGCTGTGTTAGGGTTAGTGATACTGAAGTTATGGGTGGTGGGATGCTGGGGAATGACAAGCACTGTCCAGAAGTGATTGGGGGAGATGAGGAATTGCAGATAGCAGCCAGAGACAACTTCGGAGATATATTTGCAGAGCATGCAAAAATAGGGTGGAAGAAGTAGCCAGAGAGGGAAAAGAAATCTAAGAAAAGTCTTACATGTGGGAGATATTTGGAAGCCACGTCCCTAGACTAAGCCCTGAAAACTCAATCCTTGACCCACAAGAGGGACAGAAGTTTGCCCTTTGCTTGCTCACTCCTTGCTGTGGATCAGCTGCACCTCGTTCCCCGTCACTGTTACCTTGACCCCTCCTCTCACACCCAGCATACTTCCTTTTGGAATGGCGGTCCATGAATCCCACTCTCTACCTCCACTGGGGAGCCTCACATAACTCTGTAAGGCTCTGCCTTACACTCTTCCCTTTCCCCTATCACCTACGTCTAATTTCCACCAAATCCTTAACAGTTTGCTCATTTGCATTGGTTCTTGCTCTTATCTCCTTTACAGGATCTTTTCTTCCTTGTTGCCTCCACCCACAAAGTGATTTTCAGGGAGCCCCATAGATAATCAGGAATGGGCTCAAGAACAGGTGCTGCCATATTCCACATAATACCTATTTTATCCATGTCTTGCTTTGCTCTTCTGTACCAAGCACTGCTAGAAAAATGGCCACTCGCTCCCGTCTGTCAGCACACTTGACAGTCGCTGTAACCACCAGCGGTGGGACTGGTCTCTTGGCTGGCCTCAACATACTCCAGAAGCCTCCCTGTTCCCTGGTGGTCCTGAGTCCTGTGCATGAGTGGAGAGGACACCTTCCCTCCCCACCTGTGATATTACACTTTGCTAACGTATATTAAACCAGTTAAAATAATTCTTGAGTGTGTGTAATGCAAACCAAACAGGGTCTTCCTATGCCTGTAAACCCCCTGGAATGCTTCATGGAGACAAGTCCCGCAGATTCTACTTTCAGTCCTTTCCACACTCATCAATATGAGAGGCCATGCTGGAAAAAAGGCCTCCAAGACACATGAAACTGTTTTAATCCCACTCCCCTTTGGGACACGTGTACTGCTTCCAGTCCCCCAGTGAATTCTCCATGCAAGTCGACTTTAGGGGGCCCACCATACCCATCTGCAAATCAACTCAGACACATCTGGAAGCACCAAGTGGGAGAAAGGGCCCCTGGAATGCTGAATTTCATCCAGAGCACAGACTCCTTCATAGTTCAGGCATGTTTACAAATTGTGCTTCAGCCCATGATCTTCCCACCACCAGAGTGTTCTTCCCACTTCCCATCCATCAAGACTGGCTGCAAAGGTCTTCTCCTCTTTGGAGCCTTGCTGTCCCCTCCCTGCAGATGGCCGCCACTGTCCCTTTCTCCCCAGGCACTCCAACCAAACCAACTCCACGCTCCTGGCTCTTAGGTGCTTGGAACTGCTTTGCTTTAGCACAGGGCTCCCTTTGCCTGGAATGTTTGTCCTCTGAAGTCTGTACCTCTCAAACACCTCCATATCTTTTGAAACTCACATTGCTTATCTTAGACCTTGTCCACCTGTGCCAGACACAGAAAGTTGTCCCCACCCCCACCCTCAAGAAAATAGACAGTCACTGTAATAACCCATGGACATGTGAGTCTTCCCTGTCAGTCGTTACTACAGCCCTACTCTGTGGGCCCCACTGCCTATGCCGTTTTAGAGAGGAAGACATGGCGAGCCTCCACCTTCTACAAGCCACTAATATGTAAAAATGTGAACTATTTACTCAGCCACCCTCTGATGAGACTGGAGAGTCCTGAGGGGGCAGCGACTTGGAGCCCAGCACTTCCTGACATTGAGTAAATATTTGCCAATTGAACAATCTGCTGAGATTCTTTTTACAGTTGGGAGAGATAGCTGTCCAGGGATTACTCCAATATCCAGTGGTTAAGCGGTCCTCCAAGACATTTTCTCTGTACCTCAGTCGAAGGACTACTAATAAAATCAGGGTTCCCAAATGTAAATGAAAAGTTGTTTGCTTGCTTTGCAAAATGATTCCTGCCATAAGATGTCTTTATGAGGAGCTGATAAACTGCATTTCCACACAGATTTTTCAAGTGCTGAAAACAGGAGGGTCCTGCCTGTGTGTTCAGGGCTCACAGCTGTGAAGAATTCTGGCAGAGACTTCAGTATTGTGCCTGATACAAAGCAGCTATATTTCAACAAATGCGATGTGTCCTAGTGTCCTATTTTGAATAGCTATAGCACGCGTTACAATACTTCTTTCTCTCTCCCTGTGTGTAATAATAACCTCCAAATGGTGTATATGGGAACTTCAGACATGGCCTGGCTTCCAGTGAATATAGACAACAGAAGTTCTAAGCTGTCTCCAAGTATAAACAGTCCCCGATGGAGAAGTATTGGTTGAAATTTAGAACACAGCATGTATTTTCTTATAGAAACATCACTTTATTTGTTGCTCAGATTCCCAGGCCAGTCTACACAAGCCTCTTGAACTCTGAATGCAGCCAAGTTAAATATAGTACTAATTAGTACTGCTTAAGCTCAGTCCTGGGGGCAGGAGCAGGTGGTGAAGAGAGAGGAAAGCAAGGAGTTTTCTTTCACTTTTCTGGGTGGGACAGGGGGTGAGGAGCCGGCCTTAGGCAAAATCTCCAAGAAAACAAAGTTTCTACTTGACAGTCTCCTGTTTCATACTGTACTGCCTGGGTCCCCAGTACTATTGTTCTGCCCTTTAAATCCAGCCCTCCCGGACCCAATCCCCAAGAACCTCAGGCTCCACCATTCAGCCTCACTCAACCATCAAAACCTGAGTCCATTCAGACAGCTGCCTGCACTGTTAGAAAGGCAGCCGCTCTTGAATGGCAGCTGCTCAGATCCCTTTCACGTCTAAAGACTTTTATCACTTTATTACATTCAAAATGAGCCCCCAACAGAAAATTACAGGCAGGAGGCTACTGTGAGTGAAAGCCTGACCAAGGAGGCAGGAGGGACCTTGCGTATCAGGACTGGTGAGTGATTCTGGACGGGGGAGAGTGGACCAGCTGAAGTAAGCACCCAACTGCTCCTGCCTCACTCCCCCTCCCCCCTCCCCTGTCAACACGCTGCCTTCCTCCCTGTCCCCATATTTTCAGCTTTCTCATTCTTTCACTTCTTAGCCTGCTACCTCTCAGAAATGCCTTTTTTTTTTTTTTTTTTTTTTGGTGGGGGAAGGGAAGGGACAGTGTTGAAGAGAGGGAAGTAGTGGCTCCCACGTGAGGCTTTGTGAGGAGGGAGAGGCTGCTTTCCTGCGAGGGTTGTTGAAAACTGCCTGTCAGGCTCTCCCTGGGCACTCAGCTGGGCATGTCCCTGGACCAGCCCTGCGAAGGGGCACTCAGAATTCTGAAAGTTGACGGTGTACCCCAGTAAGGAGTCAGCTTCATCAGGAGGTAAGCAAGGGAAAGGGGAACACTACAGAAGGACTTTAGACATTTTCAGCCCTGCAATTAAGATTCAGTCCTCCGCCCTCTGTTCAAAGAATTGACAAAATGAATAACGAAATTACAAGTTCAGGATCAAACCTAGTGAGGAGCCCACTCCCAGCGGGAAACCAGGAGAAAATGGGGAGGTAGTGCATTAAACAATGCACATGTCTTTCCCTTCTCTTCAGTTTCCTCCTCTGTAAAATGAGAATAAGAATAATTCCTACCTCATAGGGTTGTTGTGAACCTTAAATGAGATCCCATGAAGTGCTCATAATAGTGGCACCTAACAAGGACACAATAAATCCTATGGGGGGGGTGAACTACTTGCTCTTGAACTCTTAATATTTCAGAGATAGTGGATTCTAGGTTTAGGCTGTTTCAGGCAGAAAATGGAACTTGAACCTAGTTGTGAAGAAATGCCTCACTGGGGCCCTGGTATAGGAAAAGAGAGAGAATAGCACAGGACTCCAGCCAGAAACTATTAGCAAGCACAAGAGCCTAATGTTAATTTCAAATACAGGCAAATCTACCCACCAGAAACTGGGAGTTGTAGATGTTGCGTTTACTTCTAAAATGTCATTGCATGAATATAGGTAGGAAAACCTGGTTAACCACTTATTTGTCCTGAAAAAATGATGTGGGTTTCTTAGCCAGAATTTCAACAAAAGCCCAGAGTATGACATGGCTATTGCCAATGTTTATTTAAATAGTCTATAATAACAAAAGGACGTTCAGCCATTCATTATTTACAGAACGCTTCCCGAGGGTTAGGTAGTATGCTTTGTTCTGGAGTCTCAACACTGCAGGTACAGAGGTTTATAGTACCAA